GGACGAAGGTACTCAATGAGACAGAACAGGATCTGGCGGCTTTTCAGCCTCGTCCCCCTTTTCACCTGAGCCTCTTCAGTCAGCCTGCTGATCTTGGCAACTATAGGTTTCGATGTGATGCACTTTCTCAGTGCAGCATTGAACCTATTGTCAAGGATCGGGTAGAGGCACTCCTCATCAAGTTCCTCTATTGCGCTGGCGTTCTCGACACTCATGACCCAAGACATAGCATATGGCGAGTCATAGCTGAATGCGTTGCTCACGATTTCTCTCGTGGAAATGATCCAGTCTCGCAACTCATGCGGTGCGGGCTCTTTTTCGAGCTCTATGTTGGCGCACTTGTTCGCCTCAGATGGCAACGAAGTTAAGGGCGGTCGAGTAGCCTGCCCAAAAACATGGGGAGGTAAAACGCCGTCTCTGCCAATGGATATGGCACACAGAGAGCAACTCCCGGACGATGGCGGGCAGCACGCGGCGCATAGAGAAGTGCGGCACAACGAACAAGTTTGGAAGCATGGAGGTGTCCCGGGGATGCTGGTCTTGACATTGATGTTGCACCGAGGGCAGACCCTCTCCTCAGCGGAAGATCGGCGAATATCGGGAGCTCCAATACCGCCGACGCCACCGACGCCATGCACACCCTTACCGAGTCCTGGTGGAAGAGAAAAACCAGTTGGCCCGCCAGAGTTATCCTGTGCTCCGTGGTGAGGCTGTGGATTCTGCTGATTTGTCACAGCAGCGTCAGGTCCGTATCGCGAATGACTCCCTGAGACGTTCCATGCTCAACCTGACCGGTGAAAATCCCCCCTGTAGGGGAACATCCGGGGTACGTGTTGATGGTCCCCCTCGGAACTGCTCGTCCGACTACGGGCGAAGACATTGCCCTTGGTGGCATTGGCCCGGCAGCTCCGGCGTGGGAACAGAAACCAGAATTCCCTTGGTGCGGTTCAGGACTCCGATGTGACGGATCTCCACGTGATGGCCCGGATCCAGGATCAGGAGCAGTGCCATCCCGCTGATTATGATCAGGAATGCAATCAGGTCCTCCAGGCCCCGCACTGGGGCCGCGATGCTTAGTTTTCCCGTCGGGATCAGCTCTCAGACAACCGAGGCAAATAGGTCGAACACTCGACCCAAAACGACGTACATCGTCAGGCGAAGCGATGTGTTGATCGCAGTACTCGTCCCTGCATATGAGACACCTCACAAGTCCGTGTCTCCCCCCTCTTCCTCTGCATGCGCGGCATCTAGGAAACTGATCGCTGCACTTGAAACATGAGTTACAGTCATGGTCAAAGCAGTCTTCGCAGACTGACTTGCCGCAGCTTCGGCATGGATAGCGAGGTTCCCGATGCTGTGGATGCCCTGGCTCCTCATGAGCACACCTGGCCCGGTTATCAGGGGCAGCGCCGGCAGCCCGAGCAATGGCCCTCGTTCTAGAGGGATCCCTGCCGAAGATGGGGGCTGATGGTGATGGTGGGGGTGGCCCCGAAGGAGGTGGAGGTGGAGGAGGCCTCGCCGAGCTGACGGTGCGAGCATCACGAGGAGGAGAACCTCTAGGAGCCCTTCCCTGGGTTAAGGGATCTGTGTCTCCAGATTTCTCCCATGATCCCGTTCCGGCGGTCGAACCAGCGCCAGCACTTGAGGATCCGCAGGCAGCAAGAGGTTGCTCCCTCAATTCAGCGATCTGCATGTTGATCTCATTGACCCTCAGCACAAGCTTCATAAACTGCTCTTGCATGTCCCTCGGGTTGGGGCCTAAGCTTTTGTCATGAAGGTCCTTGACACATCTAGCAATGCGGGACAATTGAAGCTTGAATTCTTCCTGTTTCTGTGAGTTCTCATTGAGGGCTCCGGATACCTTATCACTGAACTGCTTCAGGTCGGTCGCAGGAACGAGATGCTGGATATACGTCTCGACGTTCCCACGGATGGTTCTTTCTCTTGAGATGGTTCCCTCAATGTCGATGACACTGCGAGAGTTCGCCTCAACTTCGTCTTTGATTTTCCGAACCTCAGCCTCAAGGGCCCCGATCTCAGAAAACCTAAGAAGCTGGACCTTGACGTTCTCAAGTGATTCGGCCTGCTCGCGAAGTTCAGCAGCGGATATGACGATCGAGTTAGATCTCTCATCATACATCTTGAAACGCTCATTCATCTCCTTCTCGCTTCGGGCGACCCACTCGTGGAAATCACGGAACTTAGCCTCGTGTTTTGAGAGAGTTCCGGCAACGGCAGAGAAAGATGATTCAACCTTCTTCTCGAAGGCGTCAACACGGTTATTGATCTTCTTGATCTCACCGACGCAAGCGTTGATATCATCCCTACATGAACGAATCTCAGTTCTGCATCCCTGGATTTCGGCCTTGCACCCCTTGACCTCGTTGTGGATCGCGAGAAGCAGTCGTTGAAGCTCAGATGCAACAGGATGGCCGCCACTTGTGGAAGCAGACGGAGCAGGACGACTATCAGCGTCATGATCTCCGCGGCTATTCTCTTCCCTGTCGGGAGTGCAGCCCGGAGTTCCGATTTAAATGCGGGGACAACGGAGTCGTTGACCGGTTGATTCGAAGGAAGCCCTCCATATCCAGGAGCAACAGTGCTAAGACCAGGTCTCCGATTCCTAGGCGTAGAGTTAATCCCGTCATCAGTCTCCTTCTCAGACATCGGGGCGTTGGAGCTGAGCCCAGACCCCGCAGAGTGTATAGGAACGTCAATAGGATCGTGATGAGCTGGGGGATTAGATCGCAGTCGTAGAGCAGCTTCACGTCTCTCGGGTGACTCAGAGCTCCTCTTTGTGGCTCGTGAGTCAGTGCCGGTTTGTCCCGACACATTATCAAATGATGATGATCCGCGAAGTTGAGCTTGATCTGGATTAGGTTGAGTGAGATCAAGCCGTTGAGCAACGTCACCATTGAGTGGCTTAGGGGAAAGTACTTTGGCAACGCGGCTCGGCGGGAGCGATGTAGTTCGTCTCTCTGGTGTGACCTCGGCCTCATCGATTACATCAAGGATCCCAGGAATGGTTTCATCATCTTCATTTCCTCTCCTGGGTGGCTGATGGAAGGGGATGTCGAGGAGGTCAAATGGAGTAGAGCCAATACCAGGTGTATCCTGCTCGGATCCATCGCTGGTACGGTGGCTGGACTGCTCCTCGAGGTCGATGACGTCGGGGGCGGACTCTTTTCGAGTCTGACGCCGATTGAACGCCGCGAAGAGACCGGCATGGCTTCTTGACGAAGAGGAGGAAGGATTTGGGCCTGCTGTTTCGCGGCCCGCATCCGATCGACTAGTACCTGATGTCCGATTTGGCGGATTTGAGCCCGCGTTGTAGCGGTTCGCATCCCGACCTCGGGTACCTGAGGAAAGCGGTGGATTCGGACCAGCGTTGTAGCGGTCCGCATTCCGGTCACGGGTACCTGACAGGTGAGATGATACTGCATCAGAGATGAAGTCCATATCCGCCGGACTGGGGTGATCGTGAATGATGTCAATGTCGGATGAACCTGAGACGGGAGGAGGGCCAGCTATTTGCGGCCAATCCTCAATCGCCCGTTTGCCCACCTCGGGTTGGGCCGAACCTGCAACATGAGAAGGGGAGAAATCTTCAATGGGGTCATTTTCTCCATCATGAGGAAAACCCTGAGTAGGCTCATGCGTAGGCAGGGCATCAAAAGATCTGTCAATTCGGGAAGGCTGAGACCTCCAATCAGCATCAAAAAGGGATTGAAAATCCAGATTCCCAACCGAAACGGGGGCACCCGAGTTAAAGTCGAGCCGACCGAAATCAGGCGGTGTAGCCTGCGATCCACTGCCGAGGAGTTGGTCAAACTGATCCCATGTAAGGGACCATGATTGAGCCGGCTCCGGATGAGCAGCATGATGGACAGCCCGGTCCTCGATCTGGAGCGCTACGAACGGAATAGTAGGCGAAATCGATGAGGGCACCTGATTTGGAGGAACCTCAGCCTCTTCTAGGGGGTCCGTCCTCGATCTGGAGCACTGCCGCCGGGATAGGGGCCTCCGCATCCTCATCAAACACAACCTGAGAAAGGATCCAATCGTCCGTGATCACCCCGGGATTGGGTTCTGCGCCCAGCATCGGGGGAATCGGCCACAGCCGGCTGTCTAAGCCGGGGGCAGCAGGCGCGGCGTTGTCGCGAAGGGCGTTGGCCTCGTCGTCCACGAAGCCCGGCCCACGATGAGAAGCTCCGGGGGACGCCATTGCTCGTACAAGTAGGCGATGGGAGCAGGTAGCGGGTCACGTCCCGCAACCGGATCACCAGCCCCAGCTTCTAGCTGGTACGGCTGATAACCTGCGGTTTTGGGCGAACACGAAGTAGCCCAGGGAATCAAAGAGGTACACGTAGTTCACGAAGTACCAAAAGAACCCAGTCCCAAAGCACAATGTAGAAGGTGCCGGTGACCAGATTGTGGGAGTGACAGTTAATGAAGATCAAGTTTGGGGAGATTAGGAAATAGGTTGAAGAAGAGAAGTTTGTGTCCAAGCCCAGGATGATCACGCAGAGAACCTCCGCCCACCTCCCAGTGCCTAACCACAGCGACGCCAGGACCCTTTTCCCGACGGCGTAGCGGTCAGCCGCACTATGGCTGGCGCAACGAGATTCCGTGACCCCCCTGACGGGAGGGCAAAACTTGAGCCAAACGGCCATTCGGCCGTTTTGCCACATGATGAAACAACACGTGAACAAAACACAGTTCCAATTAATCGCGGCCCAATCTTCCAGGCCCTGAGCCATCTTTTTTTGAACACATCAGGGGCACACAAAGACAGACTCTGTATCATTTTTTTCATTTTGGCCTACTCACACAATGTATACAAAAGGTTTGGAGAAGACCCCAGTCAAGGGATGACCAACATGAGTTTGGTCAACATGTAGGGGCAAAAAGAGGTCTCAATTTTGGAGCCTGATCCTTTTTTAAGGTCACACCGAGTACGCAAAATGCATCCCCTCAATGTTGGTCTGAAAGCCGAGGGGCGGTCCAATTCCAAGGCAGTGGGATGGTCTCTCTGGAAACGCCTCAGCTCAAAGAGAGCTAAAAACTGGTCTACAAACTAAGCGTCTCATGGGTAAACGACAAAAAGCCTTCACCTTGGAAGCCCCTTTGGCTTTTGAAAGGAACCAAAGTTTCGCTAACCGTGTGCCACATAGTGCAGGCACTGCATTTCTGATCGCTCATAGGCGCCAAGCTGCTCGATGACAATTCGCTCCCTCTCTGTGAAGGGCCGCCTGACAAACTGCCCGAGCTGCCCCAGCCAGGAGGACCAAAGGCCCCCAGTATAGCTGGAACAAGAAGGCAAGGGCGCCACACTGAACGAAGTCTGGGTAAAGGACGGTCGCTGGCAAAAGCAACCATCCAAGTTGAAGAGACATTGGTTCTGGGCGTTTGGCTTTTGAAGCGGTCCAAAGCAAGCCGTGCAGATTCGCGACCTGGACGCTGACCCCTTTGCTCAAACATTTGCTGGTCCTTTGACTTCCCCGTAAACCAAGTCGAAATGGGCACGCACGGCGAGGACGGCATGAATCGTGTTCAAGTTGACCAATGAGCAGTGATGCGACGACCCGTGGCTGAGCCACGTGCTCTTGCAGGCAGTTAGTGGTGCCCAAACAACGGCCAGTGCAGCTGCCAGCAGGGCCTGTGCAACAGATTGATTGGCGCAGCGCGAGATCCAATCGGGCGCTCCCCGTTCGTGGGACACCCAGGCGGGGGAGGAGTGCGTTGTGTGCGGTGGTGAGAAAGGGTGAGTGCGGTCAGGTGAGGCAAGGTAGGAGGTGAGGTGAGAGGTAGTAAAGGTGGTAAGGTAGTGAGGAAGTGAGTGAGTGAGTGAGTGAGCGAGCGAGCGAGTGAGTGAGTGAGTGAGCGAGTGAGTACGTCAGTGAGTACGTCAGTGAGTACGTCAGTGAGTCAAGGAGTCAGTGAGTCAGTCAGTCCGTGAGTGAGCGAGTGAGCAAGTGAGCGGTGAATGAGTGGGTGCCAGCGGTGGGTGTTCTGCGGGGTGGGTGTGCAGTTGGGTGGGTGCGCAGTGGGACCTCACTGTGCACCCCACTGTGCGCCCACCCCGCTGCACACCTACCACTGCGCGCCCGCCCCACACTGTGCTCCACACGTCGTGCAGGCCCCAGGCTGCTTCGTCTGTGGCGCAGTGGGGCGGGCGCGCTTGCACAGCGGATTACGTGCGCAGTGCGCAGCGGGGTGGGCGGGCGCACAGTGGTGAGCGAGCGAGGGAGGGAGTGAGAGTGAGAGTGCAAGCGAGCGAGCGAGCGAACGAGGAAGCGAGTGAGTACGGTGTGAGGTGAGTGAGGTGAGCGAGCGAGCGAGTGGGTCAGTGAGCGCACTCTACGGCGCCTACCATGAACACCGAGCCGCGCATGCATAAAGTACTGCACCTGCCACGAAAAACAGCAAGGCGCGCGTGAAGCCGACCGCTCTGCACAAACCAGTGTATTGTTAGTGAGTGGCAGTTGAGTGAGTGAAGGTCAGTATGTGTAGGTCAAGGAATGTAAGTTAAGTGAGTGAGAGTAAGTACGCGTAATGTGGAGTGAGAGTACGTATGTGTAAGATTCGTAACTTGATTGAGTGAGAGTAAGTATGCGAGAGTTAGTGAGTGTAAGTTGAGTCAGTGAAACAAATACTTCCCAAGTTAGCTAGTCTAAGTTGAGTGAGTGAGAGTACGTATGTGTAAGTGGAGTGAGTGAGAGTAAGGGTGGTTGAAAGTCAGAGAGTGCAAGTTGAGTGCGTGAGAGCAAGCGTGTGTAAGTCAGCGAGCGTAAGTTTAGTGAATGTGTAGGTGGAGTGATTGAGAGTGGGAGCGGTTGCAAGTCAGTAAGTGTAAGTTAAGAGTGAAGAGGAGGCGTCAGAGGAGGAGGAGGAGGAGGAGGAGGAGGAGGAGAGAGCGGCGCGGCAAGGACATTAAAAGTAAGAACCCCAGACAAAAAGATGCGTTGAACAACAAGTCTACCCATGTTGACTCACATACCAATCTATATAACTCGAACCGAATCATTTCCAACAATATCCCCTCAACTCTCGCTGTCCAAAAACTCCGCCAACAGAAACATGCTCGAAGTCGCGGAAGAAACAATCGGACAGGAGGCGGTGAATTCTGGATTTGCCTGAATATGTTGCAAGTAAACCAATCACTTCCAACTGAATAGCCTTGCAAACTGTGGCAAATTGCCAAACTTGCGGAACATCGCAGGGCTTTCCTTTTCCCCTTCCAATATTCGGGAGAGAAAACCCTGCCCAACCCGTGGTAGCTTAGCACAAGACCTTGCTCTTTGCACTCCTCACTTAAAACGAATCAAAACAGCAAAACAACCAACAACAAACACATGCCAATCTATCAAATGGCACCCGAAGTGCCCTTGTTTCAATTGGAAAGCCTTAAGTTGCTGAAATAACAGTGAACAGAAACTGCCCAAACAACAACTTTGGCCAAAAACAGAGCCCCTTAGCTCCCCAGTTTTTCGAAATGGTTTTCATCATGGAAGCCAGCCAATATCCATGACAGGTAGGTTGATACAGAGAAACATGTGAACAAGGACAGGAAGGTAGAGAGGTAGATAGGGAGGTAGGTAGGTAGGTAGGTAGGTAGATAGAGAGAGAGAGAGAGATAGAAATTGAGACTCTTCGGGCTGAAGTGAAACACTAGGCATTAAGCCCGCAATAGAAAGAACTAAAGACAGAAGGAAAACCATAAAGAAAAAAATAAAACAAACAAACAAGAGACAAGAGTAAATAAAGAAAGCAAAGGGAATCAATAAATAAATACATAAAGCGATAAGCAAAGACATAAATAACATTCAAAAACAAAGGATTAAACAAAAATGAAAGGACATAAATAAATAACGGTGACACACAGCAAGAAGAAAAAAAATAAGAAGAAGAGACCAATCATGATAACTATAGTTCTCATATGTTGCAAGGTTTGGAACGTCCTCCCACCGGCTTCGCCGGCTCTACTGGTATAGCTAGATGTGTGTTAGTATATCCTCAACTAAATCAGGTAAACCACCTGACATGGACGCATCAGTTTTTGGCCTTCAGGCGCGTCTCTTCTGCGCCTGTGGACGAGCAGGAAGTAGTTCGCCTCCGAATCCTCCACCACTTGTTTTTCCGCCTCGCGAATCGATTCAAGCAGGTGGTTGAGTCCCCCCCAAACCCAAGAAGGCGGGTGCATGGGGGGCGTTGTCCCTTTTGCCACCAACAGCATCCCCACAACACTTGGATCATCATACAATGACTCCAGGAATATGAAGAAATATGCTAAATATCTATGGGTTGTAGTTGGTGTCCCTTTTTTTGCCCAATGACACCTAAAAGAGGTTCCTTTCCCCTACGCCAGCCAGCAGAGCACAAGTTGGGATGGATGAAAGCTATGAATCGGATTAAACACCTACAGCTGGTGCAGGATATTCTCAATCCACGTTGATGGAAACAAAATAGCAGCCCCAAAGCGGCAACAAACGGAAAGGTCAGTAGAGTCTGGTAGTGTAAGCAGAGCAAATGGCCGCGTTCACTATGCGTTTGACCAGGCAGCGCGTGGGCTGATGTGGACCTCCAGATGACATTTGGCGAGTTCTGGAAATAACTCTTGGTGCATCCTACGCCTAAGCCACACCCACCAACTTCCACGGTTCTCCGTGACCCGCCCTGAGAGCCATCTAATCTGGGCACTTCACTTTTGACAAAGATAAACTAAGAGATCTCCGAGTAACGGAGCTTCATCATGGGGCCCGCAATCGCTCGTTTTGGCCCACTCCAAATCGGTTAGCGCGTGAACTAAGTTGTCCAATTGCCGCTCCTCACATTTACATGCCTAGCTGGCATGTCTCAGACACACAGTTTGCTATGCTTCAAGTGCCGAACCACACCAAAGGCAAACACGCACCTTTGTGTATCATACATAATTGAATATAGACATATATATATATATGGTCTCGTGTTCCGTGTTGCTACCCCCCCCCCCCCCAAATGGTATGGGTCCCCCAGGACCCCCCCCCCCCTACCCGAGCCCCCGGATCCTGGCACCTACGGTCCCACCCTCACCCCGACCCCCTAAACTCGCACCCCGACACCCCGGCACCCCCAACCCCAGGACAAGCCAACCCGCAACCAACCATGAACCAACCCTAAACTAACCCTAAACCAACCCTAAATACACCCTAAACCAAACCCTAAACCAAACCTTAAACCGTAAACCTCTAAACCTAAACCAACCCTAAACCAACCCTAAATCAACATGAACCAACCCTAAACCAACCCTAAACCAACCCTAAATACACCCTAAACCAAACCCTAAACCAAACCCCAACCGTAAACCTCTAAACCTAAACCACCCTAAACGAACCCTAAATCAACATAAACCAACCCTAAACCAACCCTAAACTAACCCTAAACTAACCCGAAATACACCCTAAATACACCCTAAACCAATTCCAAACCAACCCTAAACCAACCCTAAACCACCACAACCCAACCACAGGACCACAACCACAGGGGGGGGGGTACTTGTCTGACCCATGACCATTGGGGGGGGGGTGGGTGGGGGGGGGCTGGCAACGCTGTACCATATATAGGTGCATGCAAGTAATTACTGGGACTGGGACGGTCATATTACTAGTTGCGATCACAAAGAGCAATAGTTCGCATAGTTCACCTGGACACCAGGTTTTGGCTGAAAATAGGAAGCCTCCACAAACTTAACTGTTTGGTCATATGCAACGCGCGTTATTCACGCGACGTCTGTTGCGATACGTGACAGGTCAGTTTCCAAGTCGCCCGCAAGCCCTGGAAGATCATTTGGGCAACCCAACAAGAAGGGAACAGGGTGCCACATGGTGTTAAATAGCTGGGAGTTTGGTCCAAGCCGCCTTGCATCTGAAGATGTTGCACAGCGATGCCAGCGAAGCAAACATCGTTGTCTCGGGCACAGATGTGACATGTTTTGGCCCGGGTAATCACAAAAAGAAGCGCCTGTCACGGTAAAACAGCTGGGAACATATATCCCACGCATTCAACAGCACGAACAGCAACACAGCTGGTCATAACAAACTTCTGACAAACCGAAGACTGGTGGCAATCACGAGAATTCCCCAATCTGAATAGTGGTAGTGTGAGCGTGCTTTTCACCTCCCACTCCCTGGATTGGCAACATGCACCCTTCTGACCGTTCTCCTACTGGCTATCTTGTGAACACCAGACCCAATGCCATGCCCACACAGAAAAGCTTCATCCATGCCAGGGTCAAAGTAGATGGCACAATTCCTGCGAGGGGAAGTAAGCAAAGGGGATGAATCAAGCAACATGGGAGAATTGTGCCATCTATTTTCATCCAACAGTAGGTGGACTGCTTTGTTCGCCATGAGACCTCGCTTAGCCAGACTGGCCAGCACAAACCTTCTCCGGGAAGTGCGCAGTGACATACTCACTCTGCCAAGTGCTTCAAATAAAAAGTGAGTCACACACACACACACGCATCTTATTAGTAGTGGGATATGTCCTAAATGTCGAATCCCTTTAAGCTCCATTTAGCTACAAGTTTATCAGTATGGCTGGAAAGCGCTAAACAATATTTGGGAAGGTTTCTGGGTTCTTCAACATGTAGTGACAATCAGCCCCTGGTACTCAAGTAGTCTACCCACAACCACGCAAAAATCTAAAAGAGCGCACCGTGTGTATGATTGGGATTGTCCCTCACTACATCTTCCAGGGTTTGAATTGTGGCTAACGTTCCATTCTCAAGTTACAAGGCAAAGAGGGTGTGTGTGCATCAAACATACGGTTACGGAAACGCTGCGAGCTGCAAGGTGAAAGTCCCTTTACGTGAATTAAAGACGTCGACTAAATCCATATGATGCAATTGTGCCATGTATGACGAAATCTAAGTCGCCCCAAATAGCTGAAAGGGTCAAAGGGTTCTCCAGGTCTGGCGCAGCGCTGTAGAATGCACCAAAACAACCATCCACGGCTGACCTGGGTGGGGCCCCTGTCCAAGACGCAACGTCAACTAGTGCATGCTAGATTTCAATTATCAGAAATCGCACCTGCGCGTGCCCAACAAATATGTGATGGAATGCCAAGTTTATACTGGCCATTTGCGAGTGATTCCCTCGTGACATATTGCTTAGGAACAAACAGTCCCTCCCAAGGAAAGGTTCTTAGACTAGAACTTTCTTACAACGGCTTCAAGGGTTCGTAGAACCTCGGGGGTTTTACTTCCAGGTTCAAACATGCAGAGAAATTCACGTCCGAAGCGTGTAGATCGTCAAGTTGCAAAGAGGTAGGCGTTCGCCATGAACCAGAGCGGAGACTTTGTTCCGTCCCACTGCCATTCCTTGACTCAGGAAAAACACCATGTCTCGGTGAATTGTGCTACAGTCGCCAGCTTTTTGCTTTCAGCAATGTTTCGTTCCATACCTTCAACATCCGTTGGCCTGGCGCTAGGTTCTGCTGGCAGGTGGCTTTCGCACCTTGCAGTGTGACTTCGGCAATTCCAAGGGTTTCTGCACATTCGGTCCATGTACCAACTCTTCGCGGTGCATGGATCTTTTGCTAAAAGTTAAGCTCTAGTGGAACATGTCCTTGAATACTCCTTCAAGACTCTGAACAACACTTAACAGTCTGAGCTGTATGGCGGGAACCGCCGAGAAATGCAAGGACTCCAGTGCTGGCAACTAAAGGGCTTGCCGTGCCCAGCGGTCAGCTTCCGCAGGTCTGACTGGCTGCAAATTTGTTGCCCGAGTCCGCGAACTTGACATTCTGGCCAATCTATATTCGGACATCGTGCATGTCCACGGGGCCGTGCAAATGTGTCTTGGTCTCGGCGGACCTTCTGCGTGTCGCTCGCACGAATGTGTCTTGAGCGCGGCCAACCCTATGCAGAGATCGTGAGTGTTGAGGCACTCTCGCCGTGCTGCCGTGCGAATGTGTCTCGCTGTGAGTTGGCTAGCCTGGTTAGGTCGTTAGATAACTCTTTGCGTTGCCATCTATTTGCAACTTGTTCCAAAAAAATGCTAGCTATTTGTGCCGCGCAGCGCGTAACAAGTTCGCGTCGAATTAGCTACGTCATAGATCCATCTGAAAATTCATGGTATAGCTTGGCCTGGACGCGTGTACTCGCGCTGTGGTTGTTGGCACAGAGCATGCGTGGGAGGGAGCCCGCACGGGCTAAGTGCGTTCTACTGCCTGTTGCCGAAAAGGGTACACGTTTTGCGTCCGCAGCTGGCTGCCACGCGTAAGTAGCGCCGCGGAATCCTTGAGCCTCAAGCGGGCGGTGTAGACCAGGTGTGGCATTTGCAAGCCCAAGGTGCAATGACATGGTGTTTGCTTTCTCCAACAAAGCCTGCTGCTGACCAGCACTGTTTCCGAGCAGCAAGGCCCCCAAGCTTGCTGCAACAATGTGAAGGTCTTGTATAGCAACTCCTTTTTGAAAAAAGACGCGACTAGCTGACAAAACTTTTAGCATGACTTCTTCAAGAACAGCTTGCGCAAGAATTGTTGTGTTGCACATGGCCCTCGCAAATATTGGTCACTACGGTGTGCTGTTGCCCCTCGCTGAAGCATGCTTTTGGTTGATTGGTTGGTTGGTGGGTTGTTGGTGCTGGTGTTGGTGTTGGTGTTTGGTGGCAGTTGTTGTTGTCGTTGTCGTTGCGGTTGCGATTGCGGTTGCGGTTGCCGTTGTGGCGCCGGTTGTTGCTGTTGCTGTTGCTGTTGCTGTTGCTGTTGCTGTTGCTGTTGTTGCTGTTGCTGTTGCTGTTGCTGCTGTTGTTGTTGTGGTTGTGGTGGTTGCTGCTGCTGCGGTTGTGGTTGTAGTTGTGGTTGTAGTTGTGGTTGTAGTTGAAGTGCACACCAGCCACACTGCCCACATGATAAGCACCTGTTCAGCACACCAGCCACACGGCCCACTTGCTGGCACGTGATAAGCACATCCGTTCAAGCGCACGCCCGCCACACTGCCCACGTGCTAGCAAATAATAAGCACACCCGTTCAAGCGCACACCAGCCACACACCCACATGAGAAGCACACCCGTTCAAGCGCAGCCCACGTGCTGGCAAATAATACGCACATCCGTTCAAGCGCACACCAGCCACACTGCCCACGTGCTGGCACATGATAAGCACACGCGTTAAAGCGCACACCCGCCACACTGCCATACGCTGGCACGTGATAGGCGCACCCGCTCAAGTGCACACCAGCCCAAGTGCGCACCCGCCACACTGCAACATGCTGGCACACGACAGGACACCCGTTCAAGCGCACACCAGCCAGTCTGCCCGTGCTGGAACACGATAAGCACCCGTTCAAGTGTACACCAGCCACACTGCGAGCGCGGTTTCTTCCGCGATGGTCAATAAGATTGGTGTTCGCCTCACTGATACGCGTGAGACTGACACCATGAATCAGCAAAGCCTTTGCCAGTTAACAGACACATGCTTTGTAGGGTACGACAAGCCTTTTCCGCACAGCCCTCTGTGCACGAAACGCATAATTCAGACAGTCACATTGTCAAATCACACGCGCCTGACACAGGCCGCGAACAAAGAAGCATACCTTGTTGTTGTATTTGTTGTTATTGCTGCTGCTGTTCTTGATGCTGTTGTTGTTGTTGCTGCTGCTGCTGTTGTTGTTGTTGTTGTTGGTGGTGGCGGCGGCGGTGGTGTGGTTGTTGTTATTGTTGCTGTTGTTGTTGTTGTTGTGGATGTTGTGGCTGTTGTGGCTGTTGTGGTTGTTGTTGTGGTTGATGTGGTTGTGGTTGCGGTGGTGGTTGTTGTTGTGTTTGTTGTTGTGGTTGTTGTTGTTGCTGCTGTTGCTGTTGCTGTTGCTGTTGCTGTTGCTGTTGCTGCTGCTGCTACTGCTGGTGGTGGTGGTGTTGTTGTTGTTGCTGTTGCTGTTGCTGTTGCCGTTGCCGTTGCTGTTGCTGTTGCTGTTGTTGTTGCTGTTGCTGTGGCTGTTGCGGTCGCTGTCGCTGTCGATGTCGCTGTCGCTGTCGCTGTCGCTGTTGCCGTTGCTGCTGTTGTTGTGGTTGTTGTTGTTGTGGTTGTGGCTGTGGTTGTTGTTGTTGTTGCTGCTGCTGCTGCTGCTGCTGCTGCTGCTGTTGTTGTTGTTGTTGTTGTTGTTGTTGTTGTTGTTGTTGTTGTTGTTGTTGTTGTTGTTGTTGTTGTTGTTGTTGTTGTTGTTGTTGTTGTTGTTGTTGTTGTTGTTGTTGTTTGTTGTTGTTGTTGTTGTTGTTGTTGTTGTTGTTGTTGTTGTTGTTGTTGTTGTTGTTGTTGTTGTTGTTGTTGTTGTTGTTGTTAAAGTTGTTGTCGGTAGTGCTGTTGTTGTTGTTGTTGTTGCTGCTGCTGCTGCTGCTGCTGCTGCTGCTGCTGTTTCTGTTTCTGTTGGTGGTGTTGTTGGTGTTGTTGTCGTCGTTGTTGTTGTCGTTGTTGTTGTTGTTGCTGTTGGTGGAGTTGGTGCTGTTGTTGCTGCTGCTGCTGCTGTTGCTGGTGGTGCTGCTGTTGCTGTTGCTGCTGTTTTTTTTGTCGGTGCTGCTGTTGTTGCTGTTGCTGGCGTCGGTGTTGCCGTTATTGTTGTGGTTGCCGTTGTCGGCGGTTGCTGTTGTTGTTAGGTGTTTGGTGTTGCTTTGTTTTCTCTATTTATTTATGTTGTGTCAGTTATGTTTGTGTATATTCTCCTATAAACCATAACGGCACTTGTTGCGGGGTGAATATCTCCAACGCTTTGTTCTTGTGTTTTTCTTGTGGGCGGGGGGGTTGCCACTGTTGATGTTGTTCCTTCAAATGGAAGCTGAGGGGAGCCTGCTTTATAATCTAGGGATGCGTTACAATCTAGGGGTTTGGAACTCCCGAGCTTACTAGTGTAGATGACGGCAAATGTTGATCGTTGCTCATCCGCAGAATCCATACATCCAATATTTTGTGAAACTTCCATCCAAAAGACAAGGCTGCTCTAAGCCGAGCGGCTGCATAGACTCCACAAAGGATCCTCCACGGCAAATACCTTGGTGTCCCAAGGCGAATGCCGAAACAATCTGAGCGCATTCACTGCACCCCCTTTTGGCATTTGTAATAGGGAATGCAAACTGCAGCGGGCGCGCTGATTTTGAGCTTCCCTAGGAAAGCCTGGTTTGACAATGATTGTCATAAAGTCAGGTGGGGTTGTCTCGGAATCAGGGGTCGCCCAAGAGGCTCAAGAAAACAAACCAACCAACAGCGGGGTTCCCCGAATGGATTAAAGCTATAATGGCAGGTTAGTTTAAGAACATGTACGGCACACGCCTGCTACAGCCATTGCGAGCAAACCTGTGAGGGCCCAATTTGCACTGAATCAACTGTCTTGAAAGCTTGCCTGCCCCCTGCCCGATACCCCTACTCGTTGGGTGTATGTGAAACATGGAAAATTGTGCGGAGTTGACAGCATACCCTCCAAGAATTGTGATTAGACTAGGGAACCAATTTCAGTCTGCTTCCCTTGGCCAATTTCAGGAGCTTTAAAGGACCGAACCAACTGGACTGGTGCCAAGGCTCAGCTGCATAAAGGCACCTTGCAAAGCGTGGCTTCGCAGAGCAACCGACAATTTGGGCTGCTGCTGCTTTGAACCCCAAGGGGAAAGCACAAACAAACAAAAACGCCAAGTGCCAAATCTTAGGGAATCGGCTGAAGTGCAAAACAGCGCCCGCAAAGAAGAGGAAAGAACATGGAGATGGTGCATTAGTAAAGCTTTGATTGGCAAAGGGAAACTTTAACATGGACCCCCCAAAACCATCAAAAAGTCTGGAGGACACTTTTTTTGGGGGAACACCCGTTTTGTGTTCCATGTTAATTTGCAGGGGAGTAAAAGAGTGCTATAGTGGGCAGGTGCACAAATAATGGACTTGCCCACCAAGCCAGTCCATCTGCTCGTGCTCATCAACGACTTCGGCGTGGTCGTAAAATTCGTTCTGACCTCAGGCGATAAAGGTGTATACCCGTATTTTGCATATATGAATACATTTGCTTGTGTCACTTGCTTGGGTGGTTTAACAGGAAATCAAAGGAAACCCAAAGCGAACGGCCACGAATTGCGCTTGGCTGCCCGGCAGCAGGGTTGGAATTGAACTATGAGGTTTCCAAGGGGTTCTTAGTCTTGACGTGCTAATTCCACAGAATGTGGACAGTTACAGCGTTCAACATAAGATGGTGACCAAAGTACTAATCCTCCGCTGGTCCATCTGGGGGTGTGTACAGGGGATTTCTCGGGGCAACGTTGATTTATTATGGCTCACTGAATTAACCTGCTCGTAAGAGGTGTGTGGCTTTAGCGTGTGAGCTACACAGGCGAATGTGTTGAAACTATGCTGTAACTTAGATTTGCAAGGCTGATGTCAACCTTGTGCCATGTTCGAACGTCAACCGGTTTTCTGTGTATGAGTGAGTGTCTGGAATTACCAAGAAGGCAACCGGAGGCATGGGTCATTGCTCCCGTGTTTGCGTGGTCACCTATACAATCAGTTTTGCAAGTAAGAGGTACTACCGGTATGATTCTAATGCCAAGCGACATCTGCAAACTCCACATGGATTCCAAAGCCTGAAATATGGTACCTGAAGGGGAAATGAACGTACAACATGGCGAGCTCGTTTTACACCCCAATCGGTCAGCTGGCTGCTAGAGGGGCTCGGCAGGAACACCTTTGTCTGGTCTCATGGGTTCATGTTTTGCGTCTTGTTTGAAACAAACAGAAAGGGCAAACTTCGCTTCGACACACAAAACGCAAGTTTGAAAGCTGGGAACTGGCATTGCAGCAAATGGCGCATGCCATGATGCAGACCCTGACAACCCAAAACTCCGTGTTTCCAGCTGGTTCCGTAAAACTTCTGCCCATCTGGAAACAGCTTTCCGCTTCTCAAACAGTGAGGCAGGGAAATCAGCGCTAGTTCTTCATAATGATATACTATTCAACTCAGTCAACCCTTTTTGGACCTTTCACAAGCATGAGCTATGCACATTGGAGAATACTTTCCCGTGCCGATTTGTTTCCAAATTGAGATCCCCGCAAATGTGAAGATTGAAACGCAAACCCAAAAGGCAGCGCCATAAACAAGCGGACACAACCTCGCGAGCATCACTCTTCCCAGCTCTGGCGACAGCGCCAAGCCACCAAGGGGATAGGATGAAGGGCTGCCAGCACCTGTCAATCCCATCTAGTCTGGAAAACCAGAATTCATTCACATCCCCGTTTTTTGCGTAAGCTAAAAACCTTTTCCTATTTGGAAAGGCGGCCCAAGGTGGCAGTAGATCCCAAAACGCTTTCCTGAAACTATCTCCCCACTGCGAGTCATGGAACACACAATATATATATATATATATATTTGTATCTATAATATATATATATATATATGCAACATACTTTTGCAAAGGCACACACACATGCGTTTGGTTTTTGTGTGCAATGGCATATTTCAGCAGTTCCCCATCCCATGCTAAGTCAATACTCACCCAGCACAACACCAATGTCCTTCCAACACTAAGCCAACACTAAGCCGCCACAACCTAAAATGAATTGAACCAGAAGTCGATACCATCCTCGTGATGCGGGCTTGCGAAAGACTCAAAGCAACCCCCAAACAATTTTAGGGGGGTTCGGCAAACACATGAAGATAGTTCAGTAGTCAGATTTGGTCAGCCGAGCAGTACAGTGGGTTCAAATAGCAGGTCTGTCGGTGGCCACCACCTGTACGACGCTACATAGCGATGCTTGGTTCCAATCCGATGTGACTATACCTTCTTTTTTTCAACCCTGTAAAGGTAGACCAGCATGAAACAAGGAACCAAAAAATGTCCCTATGTTTGACACCATGTTCAAACACACATATTCAACATTCAATGTGTTCTGCGTTGGCTACTCTGCTGTTGCCACGCTGCCTTGTCAAAACTGCAGAAAAACAACCTTGTGCCATCCCCGTGGCGGGGTTTAGCAGCTTGTTCCTATGCAAAGGACAGGACAGGAACACAACTGCGAGTGGTTGTTGCACAACAGCGGCGCAAATAGAACTCCCCCGTATTTCCTCTTCAAGCGCTGCCCAAAAAGGATATTCACCTGAACTGGCCCAAACGGTCATGTTTTTACCAACCCCAGCAGGGGATTTATAGGTCAAAGCACACTTGTTTGGACTGCTCAAGCCTGAAAGACATATTTGCAGCGCCTTTCTGAAGCTCATAAGGTTTTAACGACCGACCCGTTTTGGGCCCATCAACCAAATGCTAAATGGAGGTCGCGCAAAGCACAGGCCCTCATTGTACGTGCGGATGTGTGGTGTACTGTGCAGACAGGAGAGCCCCAAACCCCAAAAATTAAACCGCACTCAACGCCCAGAAGTGTTAAAACACACGTGGCATCAATGTCAAGTAGAAAGAAGCAACCAATTTGGTAGTCAGGCCATGATGTAGCCGATCGAGGGCCCTTTGGCCTGCAATCTTTTAGGGGGGTTTGATTGGTTTCTGGAGGGGAATTTGAGGGTTTAAGGAGGTTTGACCGGTTTGTAGGGGGTTTGACTGGAGTTGGACCGGGACCGGTTTTTGACTTTAGAGGGAAATTTACTGAAAGTTGACCGGTTTCGTAGACTCGTTTCAAGGGGTGTTCTACCGGAGTTGGACTGGCTTTGAGGGGGGAAATTTGACCGGCCGCTGGGGGAAATTCACCGCCTTGTGATCGGTTTTGGGGGGGGGAATCTTGCTCGTCGTCCCTGGCGGCTTGAGCAAACTGCCTGGACAAGACCTCTCTCCCGGTGACCACATGTAACATGGCGCCTGCCGCCCTCTGTGCTCCACACTGCTACGCCACCCCCAAACCATCAATGACCACATGGGTCAACCATCCTACGTAGCCAGCACTGATTTGCAGGGACAGCAACTCCACAATGCCTTAGCGGGTCAGCAACACCCCTGCTGCGCATCAGTCGCATCTCACAAAATGGGGTTGCTTGGTACAACAACCGGTAGACATCAAAGACCCGCCATGCTTGAATCTCCGATAGATGCATAGCCTTCTGCGGGCATACAACCATCCTTCACACAGACTGGACAATGACCACTTGGCTCTGAAGGGTCAGGTCCCTTTCACAAATGCTGTGAGTGCTGTCACAAAGCTGAGAAAAAGGTTGGCAGCTTCTGGCTTAATGCCTGGCATCAGGGTCCCGCCACCAAAGGCACAGCACGTTGCATAGCTCAGCAGCGACTGATACACAATGCCCCCACTTTGCTCACTCTTCCTCATCTCACAGGCACCATGCCTGGCTTTGGGGATGAAGACATGTGATGGGAGGGATGAGGGCCTCCATCACGGTACCTGCAATCCATGAGCGGGCAGACCTCACACCGCCACTGGTAGGGGCCTTGAGCCAGTGGCTGGTCAAAACTCCTTCTGTGGGTCCTGGTCTTCCGTCACTGTTCTTGTGCGCTAGTGGGCGCTTTGGCCCTGTCGATGCGAGGCAAAATGGGTGAGAAAACTACCCAGCCGTCAAGAAGTGTTTTAGGTTGGTTCAAAAGAACGTCGTATAGTTGAATAGAATCCAAAATAAGATAACTTTGAAGATCCTCAAATGCAAAAACGTCTTTGTCCGTGGGATCCTGGTTACCCTTCCCCTAAGAGACACCCGTACAACGGTACAAAACGGTTGATGAGCATCCCGACCTGCTCCCCAGATGAGCATGTAATCCAAAAAGCCATCCGTTGTAGAGAAATATCCTTTTCCGGGCACAGCTTTGGGTTACATACTAACTTGCTGGACAGTAACCCAGGGGGTCTCAAGGCCATCTTACCATGCATGTCTTGACCAAAGCCTTCTTGGTGGGTTCAACGGGAAACCCAGGGGGAAATCATCATTCGCGGGGTTGCCCACGCTAAGACACACCCGCATTGAGACAAGGCGCACGATAGATGTTACCCTTCGCGAGATAATCCGCCGCATTTATGTCCAAGCGTGATGTTCTCTCCTCGGCGATGTGCTCCTGGGCGAAAATAATGCAAAGGACCTAAAGCTCTTGCAGAGGACAACTTATGCTACTGATGCGAATGCCCTAAATACAGTGGATGGATGAAATCCGTTCGCGCCACTTCAGAAACCAGTGTTGTTTGTTGGTGTTTACAGGAGAATCAGCATTCCATGGCTTCTTCGGTCGTGCGAACGGATTTTGTCCATCCACGGTATCACTGGCTCCGAGATAGATATGGTTGCCACAAATGCATATGGGTATGTAAATTGGGAACACTTTGGTGGACATCATGTACATGGGATGGGTGGTTTCTGTCCACCAAGCAGCTTGGAATGCGTCTCCCATTGAAAAAATACATAGCCATGAAGTATGTGTCAGAAAGAACCACAAGAACGGTGGCTGTCCTTTGGGTTGCCACTCAAACCCAGCAAAGTACCCTCAACACATGCAGAAAAGAAATTGCAGGGACTCAGCTAGGCCATACGGATCCGACGTTGGATATTGCTGGTTGAAGGGAACAAGTTGAAAGGTAAGCTGCGCCTGGCAAGGCGAATCTACGTGCTTCATGAAAACAAACTCAGGCTCTTCTACAGCGAAGGAACACAGATATGACACAAACACACAAGGTGCTTCTTACATTGCTTAACCACGTGTGGCTTCCTTGCAACTGATCAAGCATACACAACAACCACCAGCAGGAGACATCCATGCAACTGAGCTCCTACAAGGAATTACACTCAAAACCATAGGCAATGGCAAGAAATAAAATAGGCAAGCTGGCAAGCAGCCAAGCAAGCAAACAATATTTCAAGCAACCAAACTAGCGAAAACGAAACAAGGCAACACATCAAGATGCCAGCCGTGTTTTATCGACTTTTTTGCTTCGGATCTGTTTTGGGTGAAGGAATGGGGGCGGTGGGTGGGCAAACGCACCAACACAACATGTTCAATATCGAGCCGTCGACTCGAGATCTCGCAAGATGACCTCAACGCATCCCCCTTTTCGATGGGAGCAAATCACTTTGAGACATCCCCAGACCTGGGCTTTGACCCCTGAAGCCACGTCGCTCTGTCACCCAGGTGAGCCAGGACGGGCTCTAGACCCGTTGCAAGGGTTAACCCTTTGCTTGGCCCAAGCCCAACTCTGGTGTGCCCCAAAAACCATGTTCCGCTCCTTCTTCAGCCAGGGTGAGGGTCAAACAACTTGTATTTATGCGTGTCTTTCTTCAAGGGATCAACTACGTGTTCGTATCGGTATGAAGTGTGTGATGGAAAGAGGATGAGTCACACAATACCTTCATTCCCATCCCGTCCTCTCTCCACACATAACATCCTGTTCATTCCTTTCTTCTCCATGTGATAGCTAATAATTAACTGGTGATGAGAGCAGAGGATGGCCATTAACTCTGGGGTGCGGGAATGCACATATTAACATCCTTCAATGGCTGGTTACAACATGTTGCCACAAAGCTGGCATGCGGAAACTCCAAAGATTCAGCGAAAAAAGACGGAAGCTGTCACCAATCCGTGCGCTGCTTCCAGCCTACAAAGACATTCAACTTTTAACCCATGTTCGTCATGATTACAGGAGCCAGCAGTTTATATGTCCTTTAGCCCTTTTGTTATACACTGTCCTGGCAAAAGGGGATCGCAATCTGGACGAAAGGGTGCTGCTGAACAGCTACCAAACTTGCTCGAGCAACCATCCATGTGCTCTGTGGTTTGGTGCCTGTCTTACATGGATAGAACTGCACGGCCATGCACCATCAGGCAGCTCGTTGTGCCCTTCTCATCAGTGACTTGGAGCCTCAAAAAGAAAGAACAACTAAACTATTACCAACCCCCTACAGTACTCACCAACATGTCAAGGGTACATTTCAATCAATCAGATTGTCCATGGTAAACACCTCCTCTTCTTGCCAGGGGTGAGTTTTGTTAAACAAAAAGGACATTTGGAGTAGGGGAAACATGTTGCTCCTGTGATCCTGGCTGAATTCGGGGTTGTTTGACGTGCCCCACATTCCCATTCTAATCATTCAAACCATTATAGTCCACAAGTTCCGCAAATATCCCGAAACCTGAAATACGGGATCCCCACCAAGTAAAGGACCTACATGAGGAGTGTCTGTCCATGCTACCCCCGCATCGCAGTGAGCATGGGCGTCAAAAGCTGGAATGCTTCGAAACCAACTTTAGCCGTGATTGCCAAGCACCATTTGTCTGGTTCATCTGCAGGGACCTTCCCAAATGCCCCGCGCCTCGTCCTCTGAATCGGACAGCTCGACCAGGCCGTACTTGAGCTTCAGATCACTTCGGCTTCTGGGGCCTGAAGCATTCGCCGAGCCCAGGAGCCCATCTTCACAGCGTCAGAGACCGGTTCCGGAGGTTTCCGGAAGTGCCGGGAGGTTCTAGGGTGTGTTTGGGATACCACCTGGGCTTGTGTCGTCCTCTTGTGTTGGAAACAGAGTGTATATATAATATATATATATGAGGAGCGGACGAAACACTTTACTTGGCCCTAGTACTTTTTTTAACGTTATCGTTTTTGGGGGAGACCTTATCGTTTTACAGTGTTTTCGAACTTTGGCACATCCGGCTCGAAAATCGCAACTTTGTAGTACAAGTCTAGTACGCGAAGTACACTTCCGCAGCTCCAGCTCGAAAATCGCAACTTTGTAGTACAAGTCTAGTACACGAAGTACACTTCCGCAGCTCCAGCTCGAAAGTCGCAACTTTGTATTACAAGTCTACTACGCGAAGTAAACTTCCGCAGCTCCAGCTCGAAAATCGCAACTGGATAGTGCAATCCTAGTACGCGAAGTACACTTCCGCAGCTCCAGCTCGAAAATCGCAACTTTGTAGTACAAGTCTAGTACGCGACGTACACTTCCGCAGCTCCAGCTCGAGAATCGCAACTTTGTAGCGCAATCCTAGTACGCGAAGTACACTTCCGCAGCTCCAGCTCGAAAATCGCAACTTTGTAGTACAAGTCTAGTACGCGAAGTACACTTCCGCAGCTCCAGCTCGAAAATCGCAACTTTGTAGTACAAGTCTAGTACACGAAGTACACTTCCGCAGCTCCAGCTCGAAAATCGCAACTTTGTATTACAAGTCTAGTACGCGAAGTAAACTTCCGCAACTCCAGCTCGAAAATCGCAACTTTGTAGAACAAGTCTAGTAAGCGAAGTACACTTCCGCAGCTCCAGCTCGAGAATCGCAACTTTGTAGTACAAGTCCAGTGCGCAAAGTACACTTCCGCAGCTCCAGCTCGAAAATCGCAACTTTGTAGTACAAGTCTAGTACGCAAAGTACACTTCGCAGCTCCAGCTCGAAAGTCGCAACTTTGTATTACAAGTCTAGTACGCGAAGTAAACTTCCGCAGCTCCTGCTCGAAAATCGCATTTTTGTAGTACAAGTCTAGTACGGGGAGTACACTTCCACAGCGCTCCAGCTCGAAAATCGCAACTTTGTAGTACAAGTCTAGTACACGAAGAACACTTCCGCAGCTCCAGCTCGAAAATCGAAACTTTGTAGTAAAGGTCTAGTACGCGAAGTAAACTTCCGCAGCTCCAGCTCGAAAAACGCAACTTTGTAGTACAAGTCTAGTACGGGAAGTACACTTCCACAGCGCTCCAGCTCGAAAATCGCAACTTTGTAGTACAAGTCTAGTACGCGAAGAACACTTCCTCAGCTCCAGCTCGAAAATCGAAACTTTGTAGCACAAGTCTAGTGCGCGAAGTACACTTCCGCAGCTCCAGCTCGAAAATCGCAACTGGATAGTGCAATCCTAGTACGCGAAGCACACTCTCCAGCTCGAAAATCGCAACTTTGTAGTACAAGTCTAGTAAGCGAAGTACACTTCCGCAGCTCCAGCTCGAAAATCGCAACTTTGTAGTACAAGTCTAGTGCGCGAAGTACACTTCCGCAGCTCCAGCTCGAAAATCGCAACTTTGTAGTACAAGTCTAGTACGCGAAGTACACTTCCGCATCTCCAGCTCGAAAATCGCAACTTTGTAGTACAAGTCTAGTACGCGAAGTACACTTCCGCATCTCCAGCTCGAAACTTTGTAGTACAAGTCTAGTACGCGAAGTACACTTCCGCATCTCCAGCTCGAAAATCGCAACTTTGTAGTACAAGTCTAGTACGCGAAGTACACTTCCGCAGCTCCAGCTCGAAATCGCAACTTTGTAGTACAAGTCTAGTGCGCGAAGTACACTTCCGCAGCTCCAGCTCGAAAATCGCAACTTTGTAGTACAAGTCTAGTACGCGAAGTACACTTCCGCAGCTCCAGCTCGAAAATCGAAACTTTGTAGTACAAGTCTCTAGTACGCGAAGTACACTTCCGCAGCTCCAGCTCGAAAATCGCAACTTTGTAGAGTAAGCGAAGCACACTTCCGCATCTCCAGCTCGAAAATCGCAACTTTGTAGTACAAGTCTAGTACGAGAAGTACACTTCCACAGCGCTCCAGCTCGAAAATCGCAACTTTGTCGTGCAAGTCTAGTACGCGAAGTACACTTCCGTTCTGGTTTTACGGTGGCCACGCAGGGGTCCCACCCTAGCTAAGTTGCAACTGCAAGGGTTATTATAGAGCCGTGTGTTAGCTAAGGGTTATCGTTTTTGGGGGAGACCTTATCGTTTTCCATGGTTTTGGCATGTGTTATGCAAAAACGTACCCCGCCTTGATAAAGTGGTCTTCGTGTGTTTTGTCCGTGGCTCATATATATACACATGCAAATGTGTGTGTGTGCGAGGTACGCGTACATGTATACATTGGCAATTGCATCATTAAATCAAGGTAAGGCTAACTTGTGACACCAACAAAACGGTGATGTTGCTGAAATGTGTGCATTGGGGTGCTCATACGGGATTGTACATGTATGCATGTATGCATGTATGCATGTATGCATGTATGCATGTATGTAGGTATGTAGGTATGTAGGTATGTAGGTATGTAGGTATGTAGGTATGTAGGTATGTAGGTATGTATGTAGGTATGTAGGTATGTAGGTATGTAGGTATGTAGGTATGTAGGTATGTAGGTATGTAGGTATGTAGGTATGTAGGTATGTAGGTATGTAGGTATGTAGGTATGTAGGTATGTAGGTATGTAGGTATGTATGTAGGTATGTATGTATGTATGTATGTATGTATGTATGTATGTATGTACGCATCTATGTATGTATGCATCTATGTATGTATGCCAGTATGTATGTGTATGTGTGTCTGTCTGTCTGTTTGTCTGTCCGTATGTACGTATGTATGTACGTACGTACATACATATGTGTGGGTGTGTGTATGTATGTATGCATGCATGCATGCATGCATGATGTATGCATGCATGCATGCATGCATGCATGATGTATGTATGTGTGTATGTATGTATGTATGTATGTATGTATGTATGTATGTATGTATGTATGTCTGTATGTCTGTATGTCTGTATGTCTGTATGTCTGTATGTCTGTATGTCTGTATGTCTGTATGTCTGTATGTCTGTATGTCTGTATGTCTGTATGTCTGTATGTATGTATGTAAGTACGTATGTATGTATGTATGTATGTATGTATGTCTGTATAAATGACTCATGAGTGTTGAAGGTTGAAGATTGGAACAACCCTCAATCTTCAACCGGATATGCTAGAACATGCATGCTAGCACTTCCTGGTTTGCCCTAAGCCTGGATTTAAGGCTTCCATGAAAACCTTGGCTGGGAACTTGGAATCTTCAGTCCAGGATGTGCTGGCATGCGCTAGCACTTCTTGAATTGCACTTAGCATGGCTATCAGTGCGTGTTTCCCCGGCATTAACTTGCTGAGGGAACAAGTGATGTTTACTTCAATTGCGTACATAGCGCACACTAAGCACTACCAAATGTTTAAAAAAAAGAGAAACAAAGAAGAAAAAACACATTCTTCGGACATATATACTATAAGTCGTACACTTGTCTAAAAGAAGGTCGTCGGCAACGTTGCCAACATCAGTTGAGGTGTCTCAACCTTGATCCTGGTGAAAAGGACTATGTTGAGGGCATTGCCATGCTCACATCCACTACCATTTGGGATCGTAATGACTGGGAAGGTGTGCTCTACCTGTGGCATTTGTGGAGCTTGATTCACCATTGGTATTTGTACCAAATCATGAAGATGAAGGTTTGGCATGTGTGCCATTGCAAGTTTGCAATGGGATGCTACACATGGACTGTGCGTGTGAGTGTGCATGTGTGTGCCCTCACCAAGGCAAGTGCCACAAAAAGGCCAACTCAAATGGACCAAAACTGGGATCGGGGCGTTTTGGGGTGGTGTGGGTATGGAGACCCACTCAACTCAACCCCGCCTAGCTGCTTCTTCGCCTTGGCCTCCTCAACGCCTGGTCGCTCCTAGCTGGAAGTATCGACGTTGCGTCTCGACACGGAAATTCTATCCTCAGCTTTTGCCAAGAAACGATATTGATTCCGGGCTATATGTAGTCAGCCTTGCTGGAACTCGACCACAAACACCTCATCCACAAACCGTGACCACTTGATGGTTCAAAGCGGAAAGGAAAGGAACCCAAAATGGTAAAGGACCGTTTTGGACAGAAAGCTGGTCTGTCAAATGAAAGTATAGGATGCCCCAAACAACCGCCGATGCTGGAGTTTTGTGTAGCACTTGCGCGGCTGCCGTTTGCGGAGTGAATGCTGCGAAGAATGTGGACACGCTTGAAACAAGGAGGAAAGCTCATTGCTCAGGTGAACAGGGGCATATGAATGGGCTCCTTTGAAGCGACCATCATTTGACCGGAAAGGCTGCTTGCAAACTGTGCAGTCACAAATGATCAAACCAAATCCGGAATTCACATCCCCCAATGAACTCTTTCAATTTGCCCTCCCTAAAGTCTCCATGACCCTTAAACAATGAGGTCATGATCTCCTAATTTTGAGTATGTGACCCCACTTTGAGGGTCATGGAGACTCCAGGTGCATGCCTGACGATGCGGAATTGACGCTGTCGGGGTCCTGCATGCCGCTGCGAATGTCCTGGTAGAGAAACACCGCCGCGGTGGCAAGGGCGAAGTACAAGGTGTACTGGCTAAACGCATGCTCCGTCTGCCTGACGCTGATGCACCTTCCATGTCCTTTTTGGGAAACTAGAGGGTCCATGATCAGAGCCAAGCAGAGACCAGCGCTATCAACTCTGGTCCAAGCCGACCTTGAAGGCCACGCTTCCAGCCCTTCCAAATCCAAAGAAATGTCCCGTCTGTGAGAGGACAACGATGTCGGCCAAGCGACGTGGGGCGTCGCCTTTGGCTCCCGTGGCCCGATTTGTCTGCGACCATTTTGTTGTGACTAAGTGGACTTAGGCTGGGCGTTGGCAGGAGGCCACGTTTGGGGAACGCCATCCCAACGGCCCCTGCACCCTTTGAGGCCTGCTCCGAAAATCTTGCGTCGAGCCAAAGATCGGCTTTCCGCTTTGCAAAAGAAACATGCCCCCCCCCAAAAAGGAAACGTTCCAGAACTCGACGGGTTTGTATTGGTCTCCTTGCAAACTGATGACTGCGTATCAAGTCTTGCCCGATGCTACCAACTCCCAAGTATCAAGAAAACACATGCATCCGCATACACGGTAAACCGGTCAAGAACATTCTACCACATGGAACTTGCTGGGGTTTCTGGGGTTCCTTTGGACAAGTGGGAGGGGCAAGTCACTTTGATTGAAGGGGTAAATGGTCCCAAAATGTGATGTCCCGTAAACAAACAAGACACAAATACCCAATTTGCGGTTCAGAATCCCGCCTCAAGCCGGGTTCGTTGCTTCCCTTAAATGACCCCAAAGCGAAACCATTGTCTAGCCCAAAGAGTGTTATGAACTCCTTTAACACAAAAGCGCGGCAGGGATCCTTACATTATACACCTGAACATTGCCTTGTTGTAAATGGTGGTTTCCCTTTATTTTGGTGGAACAAGCCATGTTTTAAATGGGCAAAATGTATCTTTTAAGGAGCCCTGCTCGGCAAGGGTTGTAGGAAACACCAGGAAATGAACACCCCGCTGGCGCCCCTTTAGACATGACCCCTTGCTTGACTCATCCAAAATGGAAAATAGAAAGACCCCAGCAAAAAGAACACATGTCTTGGGAACAGGTGGCTCTTGGCTTGTTAATTACGTCGCTTTTCAAGTCGCCCCACAAGAGGTAGATTCAACAAAACACCACCACTAAACTGCCTAAATTGTAGTCATTCATAAGCCGGAAATGAGTGATCCTCATGAAAGGAAGCATCACTGGTAAGCCCGTTTGACTCCCCGAATCGGTGACCTAGAACGTTGATCACCTACAGCCAACATATAGAAACAAACCTGTTGGATGGCGAATGGGTCTGGCAAGATCCCGGGATTTAAAGTAAAGCTGTGGCTGTGAAAATTGTACCCAGCGAGTTGCTGGTTGAATTCCGGCCACTCAATCTTGCCAGGCACTGAAGCAGAGTTCCTTATATGTACACATACCCTCCCACCAGCTAACATGGAAATACAAAAAGGCCCTTTCCAAGAGGAAAGTAGTCTTTCTACAGGGGTCTGTGCACTTCCATGTTAGCTGGTGGGTGGGTACTGTATTCCACTATATTATAGTATATTCTAGTATGCCATACTATATTTATGACCCTCAAGCATCACCCCACCAAAAGGCATCAACATGGGCTTAAGAGGCGATGTTCCAACTCCTCAACAAAAAGCAATAAGGCTCCCCGTTTACCTCATTCCGCATCCTCAGGCCTGATGGTGGACACCACGCTGTCAGAGCCCATGGCGTACCAACTCCCGAAGGGAAAGCTGAAGTTGAGCCCTTCCGGCGGGATCCGCACCTCGCGACTCGAGTCGCTCGAGCGCGCCATGCCGCCCAGAGAACGACTGGAGCCTCCCATCCAGCCTGTGAGCCTGTAGGGGTAGTTTGCTAAAGGAGGCCTCTGGTGGGAAAGGAGGGTAAACATCGTCGAGGTATGGTGGGAGAAGTGGTGGCTTGGTGGTTGGTCAAGCAGAAATTGAGTGGCTGCTTCAGGCATCCTTCTAGTTCAGGCGATAAACGATTTACTTGGACAACCCGTGATACTTCGCACATTCCAGGGCCAGTTCGCACAGCGCATTGGGCCCCACACCTTGGAAACTCGAGTCCTAAGAGGGCCGAGTTGTGAAGCACCCCGCAAACGGGGAAGCACGAGACAGCTGCTAGATTCCCACCCTCTGGCAGAAAAGTAACGAAATGAAGTCGTGCCTGAATTCGCTGAATTTCCAGCCGCTGGAAACCAACCGTCAAGGGAAATGTGCCAGCCAAATGTCTGGAATGGGCCTCGCCGGATCCGATATTTTCCTGGCATGAAGTCACTCGGCAGAAGAACAAAAGCAGGAGCCATCGCAGACCTGCAGGTCTGCAGGTTGACGATCAGGGCTCCGCCAGTTTGAGGGAATGTTGCAAACCTTAACATTCCCCTGGCAGCTTTCTCAACTTTGGATCTTTAGTGATTGACTTCGTCAACCGACATAGGGCACATAGATCATGTCAGATCATCACAGAGTTGCTTCCGATTTTGGGAAGTTGTCAGTCCTAGAGTTGCTCATGAAGCTGTTGCTGATTCTGCACAAATTTCTAAGGGTGCCAGCTGCGCGCTTTACACAAATACCAAAGGCCTTCTGCCGCGGTTTCTGAGACGGCTTCAACCTGGGTCCACTTCAGCGTCATCAATCTTACCCTCCGAATGTTGCAAAAAAAAACAGCCATAGGTGTCCTTTTTGGGAAAATAGATGGCCCTGGCAGTTGATTGAACCACCACGTTAAACCAGGGCCCTCTATTTTTCCGCCAAATCAACCTAAAAAGGACACCTAATGGAAACAGCCTATCCAGGGCTCCAGGGCCGCGATCGCTCGGCGCCTCGCCACAGGGATGGATCATCAGGTAGCAGGGGATCTCGAACTCCAGCAAGGTGGTCTTGTTCTCGTGCCTCAGTAGTGCAGCGACCCTGGGCAACAAAGGGAAGCAAATGGAACCCGTTTTGACGTAGACCATCGTCAGCACAACCAAAATGGAATCTTAAGATGTCATCTTTCGGTGGGCATTTCAATTTGTCTCCAAATGGGGGAACCTCCAAATTGCGTGGTTTCCGTTTGGTCACCCTTTCAACAAGTTGCCAGCCTTGCATTCATTTTTTTTTGGTCGGTGTGGGGCTACCCAACCTCAGGTGGTCGCCGGGGAAAACACATCGATCACGTTTTACTGCCCCACGTCGTGTGGACGGACAGAATCCGCTTTGCACCAGCTGGTAGTGCTTTATCCCTTCATTCATCCGCCCCAACTGGGGCGGGAGTCTATTCCACAGTATTTGTTTTTTTAACATGTAACCCAAGAAGGGTGTCCAATTCCCAAAATGAGATTTCTCTAAACATAATGCTTGCTTGCGTTCGATGCGAGGAGAGTACTTTGGTTTGCTTGGGACACATCTTGCGACACATCCACTTTCCCTCGACTCCCTGAAAAATTGGGAACTTCCCTTAGCTGGACTGACTGGCTACCGCTGACTGTTGATTGTGTTAACTTGTGTCTACGGCATACCGTCAGGGCATAAGTAGCTAGAATGGTGTAGAAGCATGTGAGATCATGTGAGACATAATCTCGCCCTTTATAGCACCTTTACATGCGCGGAGCAACACAACCTTGGCCCACAAATTTTAGGTATATTGCTCGACTTTCTTCATGGCGGAGACTTCCGGGTATGCAAATATCAGTGGGCAACATTGGACAACTGCTGTTTGGGATGCATGCATGGCAATCATGCAGCACTCGAGCCAGCATAGCCTCCCCTGTCCAAACCAAAACGCTAGCCTGTTCCAAATCATTAAAAAAGGCAAAATAACACAAGGTGCCACGATAAGATCGGACACTTTACTAGCTGAACACGCCCTCATGCACCCTAAAATTATGGCAAGGTTCTGGAAAAAACAACTTCCATGTTACCACTGGTAGGCCGTCCCAATAGCCACTTATTCCCTTGCGCAGGTTCGCTGCTTTCACGCACCCTGATCTCCCAAAACCCTGCTCTCCACACAGTAGGGCACGCGGCTCGTTGTCAACAGGGCAAGCCCCGACAGTCAGTCGGATCTCACTACATAACGGGACAACTCTGGAACGTTAACCTCAGATTGGAAGCTGAGCAAAGCCCAAGCTGCAATCTTCCGTTTGTTTTTCAGGGGCCGCCCGGAAAGGCCTGCAAAATTCCTACCCCCCAAACCTGGCTCCAGGAAATCAGCTACATTCCTGGTGCTTTCCAGGGGTTTGGCGAAAGGTTCCTGCAGAAAATCCTGTAGCGGGCTTCTATGGGTCACCATTTGCTCAACCCCTCGACATGCGCCCTGGACAAAATGACTTGTTTCCGCATCAGCACATAGGAAAAATGGGCGCCGCCCAATGTCCTCCCCAAGCCAACCGAAAGTGCACTGGCCAACAAGTCTACACTTGTTAAGCACGAAATTGGTGTGTCCAGAGCAAGCCCTTCCTTGCCAGGGCACAGGATGTGCATCGGCGGCTGGGGCACATGCCTGATGCTTATTGCCGGGGGGCCCGGGAGATGCGCGAGTTTTTCGCACTCTGACCTCAACAAAAACTTCCAAGGACCCATTTGTTTGGTCGAGTCTTAAGGCACCCCCCTCTTTTCTGGCGGCCTGCTGGAGGTCCGGGTTCTTGAGCCAAATTGAGAGAGACCCAGGCTTGCTCAAGGCATTCAGAAAAGGGTTTGCTCAGCGGGAACCTGGGCGACTATTCCACAAACCACTGACAACAACATGAGCGATTGGCTCTCTTGAATTGTGGGCCCCGGGTACAAAACAAACACAGGCTTGCGTTTTGAAAGATTTCCGGCAAAGCAACCTGTAAACACCGAAAAAAGGAAAAAACAAAATCTGAGTGATGCTCCCAAGAATGAGTCCGGCGCATGCCGGCACTTGCTGTATCTGCAGGTGCTATGTTCAGGTGCAGAGGGGAATGCGTGATCCTTTTCACTTTGCTTTACCGGGAACCCAAAAGGAAACCATCCATTTTGGGTGTCCTCTCAGCTTTGTGTGATGATGATGCGAGTGTTGCTAGGGATGAATGAATCTTGGGTCTGCCGTGACCGCCATGAGATCGGGTGAGCAATTGACCCGCAGGGGATTCGGTCGCTGCACAGAAGGCTGTGTTCAGGCCTCTCCCCCGAGGTCTGAATTTGGCTTGGCAACATTCGGGGACCCCAAGGTGAACATCACTGAAACTTACATGCCAACCATGTTGAAAGGTGCCCCAGGCATTGAAGTTCATAACCTTTGCCACAGTCACCCCCCTTGGGGAGAAAAAGGCTCGGTGTTGCTCAAGCAGGACCTGCCTGCCTCCCTGTTTGAGGACTCTCGCAAGGCGAGAGCCAACCCCGGTCACAGACTTAAGACACACCATCCCTTTGCTCCATTTGGAACTTTCGCACCCATGCGTTGCCCCTCTTGAGGTAAATTCACCATGTTCAGGAATCCTTCTCCTCAGAAACCAGTTTGTTTGAAAGATTGTTGCAAAGCATGGAAAAACAACCGGACCGAAATCCTAAGTTGGCTTGACACATTTCAAGATTGAAGTCAGGTTGCCATGGAGTTCTCTCAATGATGAGCTCATCCTTTAAAGTCAAACCGTAGTACATGGCAAACATTCCTCTCATCTCTACAAGTCGAAAACTCTAAGGATCAGAATGGCTGGGGACTCTTTTTAAGGAGGAATCAACTCAACCCCTGAGTGTCTGTTTGGTTACCACTAAAATGGTCCCAAAAGTGAGTAAGGTCATGAAGTGAGCCAAGCCTCATCTCTCGTGCCAAAACTTGCTGCATGCCAGTGAATGGAAAACAAGTTTCTGGCAATGGGGAGGTTGCCGCCAGACAACTGGGTTGTGGGGCTCCCTCTAGAAGTTCAAGCCCCCGCAACCTGGCAAAGCGTTGTGTTTCGAGCGGCATGAACTCACCCAAGCGCCGGCCCTCGCTCTGCGTTGAGCGTCCGCGCTCCTTGGAAGTGTGCAGCCAAGGGCCGATGCGCAAGGGAACCCTTTGGTGGGGTTGAGAATTAGTGGCTTGGTAGAGCTTTCTACTTTGGTGGGTTCCCTTTTTCCCGAAAGCATGGCGAAGGGTTCTTCCGCTGGGTTCACTTGAGTTGTTCTCATGAGAGTCATTACAAGGTGTCATTGCAAGGAATCATCATCATGAAAGTCATTGCAAGGAGTCATTGCAAGGAGTCATTGCAAGGAGTCATTGCAAGGAGTCATTGCAAGGAGTCATTGCAAGGAGTCATTGCAAGGAGTCATTGCAAGGAGTCATTGCAAGGAGTCATTGCAAGGAGTCATTGCAAGGAGTCATTGCAAGGAGTCATTGCAAGGAGTCATTGCAAGGAGTCATTGCAAGGAGTCATTGCAAGGAGTCATTGCAAGGAGTCATTGCAAGGAGTCATTGCAAGGAGTCATTGCAAGGAGTCATTGCAAGGAGTCATTGCAAGGAGTCATGGCAAGGATTGCAACTTGCACTTGACTCCTTGCACTTGCAACTTGCACTTGACTCCTTGCACTTGCAACTTGCATGCACTTGCAACTTGCACTTGACTCCATGCACTTGGCTCCTTGCACTTGGCTCCTTGCACTTGGCCCCTTGCACTTGCAACTTGCACTTAACTCCGTGCACTTGCGACTTGCACTTGACTCCATGCACTTGGCTCCTTGCAACTTGCAATGGCTCTCATGACTCCTTGCAATGACTCCTTGCAATGACTCCTTGCAATGACTCCTTGCAATGACTCCTTGCAATGACTCCTTGCAATGACTCCTTGCAATGACTCCTTGCAATGACTCCTTGCAATGACTCCTTGCAATGACTCCTTGCAATGACTCCTTGCAATGACTCCTTGCAATGACTCCTTGCAATGACTCCTTGAAACAAGCAAGGAGTCAAGTGCAAGTTGCAAGTGCAAGGAGTCAAGTGCAATTGACTTGCGAGGAGTTAAAATCTCTTCTTAGGGCGGCGGGGTAGTGCCGACGACACTACACGAAAATCGACCCTCTGCGGGGATCGGCGTGGTCGAGGTGCAAAAACCCATGGTTTTTTGCGATTTCTAAAGTTCCCGCGCGACCCTCTGCGGGGATCGGCGTGGTCGAGGTGCAAAAACTCGAGGTTTTTTGCGATTTCTAACCTGCTCGCGCGACCCTCTGCGGGGATCGGCGTGGTCGAGGTGCAAAAACCCATGGTTTTTTGCGATTTCTGCGGTGCTCGCGCAACCCTCTGCGGGGATCGGCGTGGTCGAGGTGCAAAAACTCGAGGTTTTTTGCGATGTTTAACCTGCTCGCGCGACCCTCTGCGGGGATCGGCGTGGTCGAGGTGCAAAAACCCAGGTTTTTTGCGATTTCTAACCTGCTCGCGCGACCCTCTGCGGGGATCGGCGTGGTCGAGGTGCAAAAACCCAGGTTTTTTTGCGATTTCAACCCTCTGCGGGAATCGGCGTGGTCGAGGTGCAAAAACCGAAGGTTTTTTGCGAAAATCGGCGTGGTCGAGGTGCAAAAACTCAAGGTTTTTTGCGACTCGAACTGGTCCTCGGGAGTTGTCTCGTGGTTCGCGCGCCTGCTCCCGGAACCGGCGGGTCGCGGGTTCGATTCCTCCCTGGTCCGCGGGCGGGCGTCGCAAGATGCAACTTGCATTTTAAAGCAACTTGCGCAGAGCAACTTGCGCAGAGCAAGTTGCACAGAGCAACTTGCGCAGACCAACTTGCACCGACCAGTTTGCGCAGAGCGCCTTGCCTAGAGCAACTTGCGCAGAGCAACTTACGCAGAGCAACTTGCACAGAGCAACTTGCACAGAGCAGCTTGCACAGAGCAACTTGCAGGGAGCGCAATTTGCACAGAGCAACTTGCAGGGAGCCACTTGCACTTGCCGGAGCAACTTGCGCGGAGCAACTTGCGCAGAGCAACTTGCACAGTGCAACTTGCGTAGAGCAACTTGCGCAGACCAACTTGCACCGACCAGTTTGCGCAGAGCACCTTGCCTGGTGCTGTCTCGCGCTTGCTTCACAAATGCTTCGTGTAGGGAAAAAGAACGCATCCTGCAGCGTTGGGCCGACCTCGCTTGCGATGTTCTGCTTTCGGGCCAACCGTGGTCTAGTTTTTCGGGGGGGGGGGGGCTTGATCTTTCCCAGCGGGGAACTCACCAAACGAAAATCCGCCGACCCTCTGCCTCCCGCTAGCCTTGCAAAGGGGACCGGCGTGGGATGCAACTTGGAATGAAGTGATTGGAACCCTGGTGAGCTGTTCGTGTTGAGGCCAGGACCGGTCCCAAGACTGGCGGGATGTTCATCTCTCGGCCTTCTTCTCAACATTCGGTTCACGGGGGGGTTGTTGAAGCAAACATCCCCAAGCAACAAGGTCGCAGTGCTTGCCGTGGCCTCGCCGTGCTATGTCGCCCAAAGGGGCGCATGCCCAGACTTTGCCTTCCGACTCCTGGCTGCATTGCCACCGTCGCCGACGCTGTCGGAAGCCCCTGTGATTCGCGCATACCCTGCATCCCTTGCATCGCCCGCGTTTGGGGCCAGCCTTCACTAAGCCCGTCCTGATGACGCGCACGCGCCGCACTCACGCACGTGCTCAACCTGCGGGCCGCACGCACGTAACCAACCAACCAGCGCGGCGGACATGCGAAGCCGGCGCGCGGAGCAGTAAATAATTGGAATTGATGGGTGCATCACAAGTAGGATTTGTGGGTTGATGATTTCTCAGAGGGGAACCCACCAAACCGAAAAGGGGGAATAAGGTCGGGGTCAAAGATGGCTTGCAAGCATTTCTTGGTTGACTAACGACACACTTGGACATATTGATGACTACTTCTTCAGGGTAGGGGCCCTTGCAGCGTACTAGTGGCCCTCTAATTAATGGTTTCATAGAGGGTAACTTGCTGGCCAAAAACCAGATTACACAGCACTATCTTTTGTTCAGGTACGTTCAGGTACGCTTTGTGCTGCAAAGGGCCTTCTGGCCATGATCCCCGCCATAGTCAAGGCTCGTGGGAACTGTCTTCTACCCTCAGAACATGTTCATTATGTTAATAGGTGCAAGAGTACAAACCTTATGGTACACAATGATTGCCCAAAACTATGCAGGGTTTCCGTTCTTACTTGACTGTGACTCAGGTGTTGCCGGTACAAACAATATTTCTGCACATGACCCCCAGCCAAATTGGGACCTGCAAACACAGGGTGCATTCTTTACCGGTACGCGAAACCTATGAAACAAATGGAATACACATTGAACAAACTCAGCTTGAAGCACGCATACCTTGTGACAATGATTTGACTTTCAGGGGAACCCCCGCCAAACATTGAACAACAAGCATAACCGTTTCATCAAGTCCTTCCAAAACCTCCACTCCCCGGGAGTACCAAAACCCTTCTGTTCAGTGATCCTGGTAGAAGGGAACCACTTCGTTGTGTGATTGGTCCTTTCCCCAAACCAAAAGGCAGGGGTGCCACTGAACATGCATTGGTTGCACCGCCCCCTGTCTCCCGCAAGGGGCAGCTTGCAAGTGACGCCGTAGTTGACTTTTTCACAGCTACCGAGGCTAAGAAAACAGATCCTGGCAACATGCGAAGGGGGGCAAAATCTGTTCAAGCATCCAGAACCTGGCCACCTTCAAAGACAAGCGGACATTGGCGAAACCATTGAGCTTCTCAGTTTGTGAGCAAATGGCCACCCAGGATTACCACTGGTTGATGTGGGGGATTCCCACATTCGCGGGGATTCTGATCACTTTTGATTGATCCAGTTTTTAGGCCACCTCCGAAATCGGGGGGCTGTTTACGGTGGATCCCAGGCGTTTTGCCCTGGCTATTGGTGTTCAGAATCGGGTGGTTCGCTTGGGTTCCTACAAAACCAGGTAAATGGATCCACTGGGGACAACATGCTCTGCGCTAAGGCATGAGATTTATCCGGATCTTTTGAACTCGTCCCCTCTCCCGCCTCCGCTACATTCGTCAGCAAACATGCAGCTGCTACAGACACCCACCATGGCACGGCCATGCTGACTTTGCTCGGCTTGAGCCCCGGTCCCTCCAGATTTCCATTCAAAAGCACATCTCTTTCTGGGTCCTGTCCGCAGGGTTCTGAAGCCGCAGGTTGCGCGAGTGGTGCTCGAAGCATTCTCCCTAGCGGCCTAGTCCAAAGGGCTTCAGCACATCCAAACTTAGGCTTTCCGACGTCCAAAAAGGTCTTCTTGTCCAATTGGTTGGACGCCTTGAACGTTGGGGATTCATTTAATTTGCAGATTCTTACCAAGAAAATCCGGCCCACAAAACTCCGTCGGCCAAAATCACGCCTAAATGTACATGGAAACTTGGGGCCCCAAAAGCAACCTCCAATCCTAAGAACCATTGTTTGTTTCCATGTCAGGAGTGTACCTGGCCCAACCCCAGGGCCATCCCAAAATGATATGTCAGATTGTGTTCAGCATACTGTTCAGCATACTCAGTCAACCTTAAAAGGAATTCAACAAAAACCGGACTGCGGTGCAGGGTGTAGGCAGAAATTTTCTATTTAGGAGGGGGTGTCTTGAGGTCTTCCGGACACATCGGCCGGCCGAGAGCCAGGCTCGCAGCCTGCGCGAACGGGGGTTGGACGGTGGGTTTGGCTCAGGTCTTTGTCTTGCTGCCGCGATAGGCAGGGAATCCGGGAATGGTTTTTCTCGAGTTCATTCCATTTCTCATTCGCCAGGAAGTGTGTTTTGGGCTGGCCCCCCCCTTTTGGTTGATAAACCAAAAGGGAATCAACAGGGAATCCATGGCCACTTTAGGGGTCCCCTACTTTACGACGCACCTACCTAAGTGATGTCGTGAACCCAGGGGTCAATGGATCTATCGCACCAGCAAGTTATTGCTCACTTGAGCGGATTGGCCGAAAGCCCCAAACTATCTTGGCACTGACATCTCCCCCAAAATGTCGGCCACCTCAGGAACTGGGCAGCTTTGCTTTCCCCACTGAAAGCATTTTTGCAAAAGCAAGGCTGCAGCCCGCTAGTCACTCAGAGACACTTCTGGGAAGACGATTCAGACTCAAAAGGTGAAACATGATGAGAAGCTCACGTCTTCAACTGGGAATGTAACTTATCATAATGTAAATCGCTCTTTCAGCTATGATTCGACCCATAGAATTCGAGCACAAGGGAAGTGGAGCCTCCATTTAATGGCAATCTGGTATATACCCTAAATGCTGTCCTCTTTACAGTAGATCGTAAATATTGGCTCTTCCTCATCTAGTACACTCCGAACCTTCCGGCCGCTGTTTCCGAACCGATGCCCCTCGCGGGAAAATAAAATGCCTTGGGGCTGCGATGAGGCCTTTCAGCCATTCAAGCAAAAAGGGGAGGACTGGGTAGGAAAATCCTTGAAATTTGCTCCGCACCGAAACTGACTCGGAACGATTCGCCGCTTGACCCCAGGATGGCGCCTGGCCGACCCGGGTGAGGGACCCGGCGCGAAAAGGTGGCGGCTTGGATGCGGGTCAACATCCGAGCGTGGCACTCATGGTCAGCTGGACATGTTCATTTGCATGTATTGGCTGTTACGTTCCAAAGCACCCGAGCACTGCTCAACTCCGCCCCAAACCGCCTGCTGCAAAATCTGGTCCAACTATATATCTGACAAACTCTCAGATCCGCTAGCTAAATGGCACCACGGCCCAACTCTGCTCCCAATGTCGAGGTCTTTGACCAAGACCCTGGGAATCTCCACTTCAACAACTTTGTGTTGAAATCCCTTCATGGGTAAACGGAGTGCCGTGCTCCACTCGCATGGCCTGCCCCCTGGCAAATAGTACACGGCGAAGATTGGCCTGTTGAACTTTGAACACTTCCCCAGCTGGGCGACTCAAAGCTGCCATGAGCTACATGGACTCTTTCAAGTGGGTCCCAAACAGTCCATGGCTTGCTCTTAACATGTAACCCACAAACCCATCATCTTTGGATGACTGTCTGTTTGTGGGACAATCGTATTGGGCTCCATGCCAAAAATCCGAGCCAACATATAATTATCTCCAAGGGACTGGCCTTCAGGCCCGACACCCACAGACCCAAAGGCCCAAAGCCTTTGGACGGAAAACATGTGGTGAAACCCTCTCGTTCAATCCAGTCCGCAGCCGCCGATCACCAGGTTGGGGCACCTGGAAAACGCAAGTTTTCTTTGGCTTTTTGGTCCAGAGCACGGCTGAAGGGAATTTGGGGCCTAGGTGTCCATTCCCGAAAGGAAGCGATGTCCCAAAAGGAGAGGTTGGAGTTCCTGCTGTTAAATTTCAGAACAGTAAAGGGAACTAGAAGTAAGCCAGCCAGGAACTCCGTCACAACCAGCCACGGATGCTCCATGCCATCAACATGCCTCTTGTTTGACTCCCCCTCTAGGTGACCAGGCATTTAGAATCTGGCGTGACCATACTCTGTGATGCAGACTGAGAAAAACTGGTTTGCCGAAACATACCTTTCAGATAAGTGAACAACCAAACGTTTCCCTGTCACAATTCGCCCCGGGAAGCTTTTCGGGATCAATTGCTCCGTCCGATCCCCCCCCCAACCCCATCAGCCAAAATCCCTGCTCCAGCTGCCTCCAGTCCGCCTGAAACGATGGGAGGTGCAGGGCCGGGAAGCGGTGAGATCCCCTTGCGCCGATCCAACTCCGGTCAAATCTCTCTAGAAACCGGTCTCATCCCCAAAGCCGGTCTTCTAGAAAGCAGAAACCGCAAAAAGCCGGTCAAGTAACCGATCAAAAAGAAACCTGTCAAATCTCCCCCCCCATAAACCAGTCAAATTCACCTTCGCTTGGCCCCAGCTCACTCTGCAGCTCTCGTTCTGGCCCTTGAAGCCATGTGAAAACACGCAGACATGCACCCACCCTCTACCTTGGAAACCAGCTCACGAAAACACAAGACTGGCGTATTCACTCTGCAATACGTGTTTGCTGTACAATGGCGGCGTGACCCTCCCCCCGTATCCACACAACATAACTTGGGTGTCTGGTCTGTTGCGGGTTCTTTTCCCCTTATTGAGCTTCTATCAAGCTCTGGGGGCCAAGCCCTCGTGCCAAGGTTGCAAGCTGAACAAACAAAAAATGAGAACCTGAGACATGCAAGTCTAATAAACAACTTGCTGGTGCTCAGTAGGGAATGATAAAGGGGGATGGTTTACAGGAGACATTTCATTCCCCGCCTATCGCACCAGCACGACAAACACACTGCCAGATTAATAGCACATCTCCTCATAGTTCCCATTAAACATTCCTAAAACAAAACTCACTTTACTTTGGACCACGTGTTCAACAATACATCACAAGAAGTCTAATTGAGGAGAACATTTTCAGGACACCACCATACGTCCACGGCAAATCGCCGGATTTTAACACAACGACGTGGACACTATGGAAAAGGAACCAAGCGCATTCAAACAATAGAATACAAAGAGCCCAGCTCCGCCGGGGTGCCGAATGGTGCCGAAAACTAAATTCCCGGCGCCTCTTTTTTGCTTTCGTGGCCGATTCTTTTTCTGGTTCCCCCGCCTGCGGTTCTTCCAGGCGAAGATCACGATGCCGTACAAGGCCATTGGGGTGACCAGCCGCGCCAGCCTAAGCTGGTCCCTTTCAAAACAAAACCTTCCCATGCTGCAAACAAACAAGTCTTCAGCCGAAGGGTCGAACCTGCAGTTTGGGAACGATGATTGAATTGGGAACCCCTGAATTTTCCACTGGGATGGGCTAACGCCATCACTTTTCTCTTCTCCTGCATTGTCTTGCCACCATCCGGGCGAAGCAGTGCGGGAGGAACTTGCCACGGATGTCTGAGACGCGGGCGCGGGACACGCTACCTCTCCACAAAGTGGATCTTGTACAGAATGGGTGACCTTTAAACATGCTGAAACAAAGACCTGAAAATTTAAAAGACTGACGCTTGGTGGGCATCCTTTACATGGGGCCACCAAATCTGGGAGGGTGTTGTCCATCAGTACTAATACCCATTGTGGTTGCAGTGGAAACCTCAATAGGTGTCAAGCCCTGCTCCCTCTGGCATTTTGATTGGATTTCCCCACTCACCTGACATTTCTCACCTCTACCTTTCTCGGCTTCTTCGCTTTTCTCTTTCACACTGGTGCAAGTGGCGGTTTCAAGGGGTTTCTCGCCCCCGAGAAGCTGAGAGAACCCCGGTGTACAGGGAGTGAAGCATCTCTCCGATGAATTCCTCGAGTCCCAAGCAGAAGCCACAAGCTGGTTCTCCATGGAGAGGTTTGGGAGGCGAAAAGGGTTTCCCTTTGGCACTTTAGGAATCTGGTAGAAATATTTGCGACAGGGGGATCATGACTTCATCAGGGGGACTCGAAAACCGCGAGATCAATCAAGCTTCGACAGTTGAATAAGATCCCATCAGCGAGTGAGGGAACCGAAGGAGAGTGTGTTGGCAACCATTGCAGGTGCTCCATTTTGAGACACACCCGTACCCGCCCCAGCCTGTTGCAGAAGAACAAGCAGGCGCGCGTTAACCAAAACCACATTCGTCCCTCGAGGGCCAGGCCTGGGCAACCTCCAAACATAGAATCATGAGAGAACCAAACATCGGCCACTACCTGGGTTACAAAGGGATCCACGGATCGATCCCCTTAGCTCGTAGACTTTAAACATCGCATTTGGAATGACCCACGCAGCCCCCAACATGCCAAACACCCCTCAAAAGCCAAGGTATAGCCCACTTCAAGCCAAAGCTGACGGAAGGTTGTGAAGCCTTGCGATTGACGTTCTGCCAAGCCGCCATGTGAAGAAGAACGCGCTGCTCAGCAAAAACTTTCCGGGCCAGCGTGGCTTTGTCTTAACCACCAGCTTCCTCACGTGTTGGCGATATCGAAGCCTGAGAATGCAGGCAATCGCTGCAATCTTGGGCGAATCCTGCATTTGCAAATAGAAAACCCTCTTCCACTCCACCCGCATGAAACCTGACTAGGACCCCATGACTTTGCCCCGGAACCTTCTGGTGTTTGCGTGTGTGCTATGCTGGTTGACGAGAAGAGAAAAAGCCTTGACATTCACCCCACCCGCAGTTTAATATTTGTTTGTGGCATGGCGCGACTGAATTCAAAATTACGGGACTTGATTCAAATAAAAGGTACTCGTCAGGAATGGCCAAACTCTTTTTGTAATACCAGCGCACGATTAGTCAACCTCTCTGATTAAAGGTTCCCCTTTGTCCAATTCTTGTCAACCTGGAAGAAGAACCCTTTACAAATTACTCTTGAATGAGGCTGCTGGGTTGACCGCGCAGACTGAACGTGTGTCCCTGCGAAAGCTTCAGATGCTCCAAATGTAGCGCCGCCAATGAAAGTAACATCCATTGAATTAGAAGGCTGCATGTTCCTGGGACAGTGCTGCGGTTCCAGTTGTAAAGGTGCGGGCGTCTCCCTATTCGGTCCCAAATACGCAGAATCAAATCGTATAAACGTCCTCTATAAATTGGGGGCTGGGCACTTCTCGTTTGACAATGCGACTGTCTCCTACAGTTGTTTGACCGAGGACCAAACCCGTTTGGATTTCGTGCATGCGAACCCCTTGTCCATCCGGTTGAACTGCAACCTGGTTCTCTGGACTAGAACGGAAGAACTCAAAAAAAAGCATTCGCAATCTCCTGGTACTGTCCAAGCCCTACAGGTGCTACAGGAACATCCTGGCCAGCACTTCATGAACTCATCAATATGGCTTGTGTATCTTTACGCTGGGTGTGTTTGCTAGTGGCGACGTCTGCATGTCTGTGCCTGACGGAAAACCAAAGCCCCCATATGTGTGCACGTGGATGTGTGTCTCTGTGTGTTTGTGTTACCCGTTCGATCCACGACATGCGAGTTGAAACGCAGCATGCGCCGCTTTCTGCCCCACCTGATCACACAGGCAAGCATAGGAATTGGCTGTGGTTGATGGACACAATTGCTTGCAGCAAGTGTAAACACACTGCTCTGATGATCCTGCGCTAGTACCCTACCAGCCCCTTTCTAGTCATCTAGGCAATTGACTGCGCTCAACCAAGATGAGCTGGACTTCGGCATACCGACTTGGGTTGCAAGCAACGTGTACAACATATCTTGTCAAGTCTCACAAGTGTACGGTCACAAATTGCTATACCTTGTGTGGACATGGGTACATTAGATTGTCCGCAAGTGCTTGTAGATTTAAACTCCAAAAACGATAACATGACCATGGGCTTCTGAATCTGTCGATTTACTCCGAATGCGGTGTTCACTCCCGACATCTCACGATAACAAACCGTGCACGAAAGAACTCACATCCATCATTCGCAAATACTGGGAATGGGCTTGCCCACTCTCATCACATCTTTCTCTATTCCGCTTTATGTGTGTCATATCCGAACTCTGTCGTGCCTGATCCTCTTGGAAGATAGCAAATTGGGGGGGCGGTTCATCCGACCCCCTCCGATTCTGAACTTCGGCAACTGTAGTTTGCCCTGTCTTCAATTAGATGTTTCCTTACTACAAGCATGGCCACAAAATCTGCGAAGCGCAACATTTGCCACAAGGGAGTTGATTCTGTTGGACAAACGCACCATTTGTCGGACTTCCTAAAGAAGCAGCCCGATGTGGTACCCTTCTGACATGAGGGAAAAAGAATCAGCCAAAACAGTTGGGTCGCCCATAGCCGGATGTAGGCCAGGGCTCCGCAGGGTGGTGTCTGCCTCAAAGATGCGCGTGTCCAGGTCAAAGACAAAGTACAACGAAACAGCGACCTTGGGAGACTAAAATCCGCCGACCTTTGACGATTCCAACTCAAAAAAAACACGCGGACGCGGGGCGTTCTGGAATCGGGGTGCTTTTGTGCCGGTGAGCCTGCTGGGTGTTATCGCAAACAGCATAAACATGATTTGAAGAAATGGGAGAATACATTCAGACTTCTCTCACTGCAACTTCCTGGTGAGCACGCCATGTGCACGCCTAAGGAGGGGTCCCTGTGAACGGGAGGGCCGTCATTTTACCACATCGAGTCGAGCCAATTTTGCCACGTGCGCAATTCCGCGATCAGCTTACAACACACACAGACACGACTAGCGAAAAGTTGTCAACACGTTGACCTTTATTGGCAAGCATATTTCAACACATGGGCCGAAACCGCCAGCATTTTATAACGCGTAGAATGAAACTGGCTCACAACTGGCTAGGATTTTACAACACACGGATCTAAAGGGCGATCGTTCTCCAACACAATGACCAAGTAGGATCAAAGCACCCGTGGAAACTATAGAAACCATGGACACCATGGACGCCATACAAATCATGGAAACCAAAGAAACAATGAACACATAGAAGCCATAGAAGCCATGGAAACCATGAAACAAAAACAACATGAAAACGGTAGAACCATGGAAACCATGGAAAGTACAGAAACAACAGAAATCATTGAAACCAGAAAGCCACGGACACGGTACAAACCATAGACTAGATACCATAAAACCATGGAAACCGTAGACGCCATATAATACTTCAGAAAAGATGGAAAAAGTGTACGATGAGGCTGCGTTGAGAAATGATCAGCCTTCGGCAAAGCACGCTAAAAAACAATCAGATCGCCTCTTGCAAAACGACCCTTTGCCCTACACTCTGGGTCAGGCATAAGGTTCCTATTTTGCTGAACATACTCCATGCTTTGCTATCTGGTCGTGCCTAAGGTCAATAAGTCAGGCCAAGGGCTGCCGAACGCATCGACAGCACGCCTCTGGCCTAGTTTAAGATCAAGAAGCGCTGTATGCAAATGTATGCAGATTTGACAGTCCCCTGTGCTTCCTCGACTATTCTTTAAATAGCCTCGACCATTTAAAACACGAAAGGCTATAAAAGTAATGTCTCTCGACCATTGAGAGTAGGTCTAGACAAACTTGGCCAACTCGAGACGGCTGGCTCCTGACATCCCCACGCGCTTCTGTGCAGTGAGAGCTTGAAGAACTTTATTGCTGCCTTTCATGAAATAAGCTAAGTATGTTTTACAGTCGCTTCATCCCGTTGTATTCACACGCCGTCACCATGCTGTGTCAATTTGGCTTGTCCCTCACATGCCCGTGCGTGTTTTTCCACTTCTTGTCCACAGATGCACAGAGTCTGATCGCGTGTTGTTTGTTGATTGTTTAATCGATTTCGAAAGAAAATGAGGCGTGGACAAACCATGGACAAACCATGGAAAGTACGCTTTTTAGCGTGGAAAGTGCATTTAAAAGCGTGGAAAGTACGTTTAAAAGCGTGGACAACCATACCCCCAGGAGCCCACAACGCATGTTTGATCGGCAGCGATGCCCCGAAGCCACTAAGTATGCAGCATTTATCGAAACAAACAAGCCGGACTTCAGTACCAACATGCGAAGAATCTATGCACGCCTCTACAGTAGGCGGGACACCTGGCGATTTTGAAAAAAGTTGCGACCATACATTTGGCAAGCCGGGGAATGAGTGGCTTGGGCGCAGTCATTTGCAGCTGGGAGGATGAGGGCGGCGTGACTTTCAGTGACCTGACCCGAAGCAATTATTGGGCAACCAAAAGCATGTTTTTTTGGATATTCAGAGCCAGGCGCAAACAACGGTCTTTCGGCAAAAAACAGTCTAGCGACCTCGACCATTCTTTTAATGGCCTTTGGAAGCCTAGGGAGTCATCTCTCTGCTGCCCCAAGCCAAACCTGCCGCCATGTGCGACAATGGTTCAACACAATCTGCAGGAGCCTGCATGGAACCCCCACTGCCTGAAATCCAGACGGGTGGCCAACTTCCACCTCGCCACTTTTGCGCGGCACCTCCTCTTAGGCAAAACGTGAATTACAGGCTTCCATTTAGATTACAGGCTTCCATTTATGCGGTCATTCGCTCAAGTATGTGATGGTTGACTCAACATTCGCAACAGGGTCTTGCTGGCCATAAACAAACAGCATTGACACAATTACGCATACGCGCACACACACACACACAGCTCATCTACAGGCCATACAGTCTCATGAAGGATTGCGTGTTGCATCTTAGGATACCTGCAATTTTCAACGTCTCGTTGAGTCAAGCAACCAGGTCAAAAACGTTCAAGCTTGCCCCGTCAATCGCTATCGCTTGTTGCGCAGGCCTTGGGCCGTTGGACCATGAGCCAGCCCATTTGAGAGGTCCTGCCGATCCATAGGCTTGGCGCACCCCCAAGCCCCCAAACTCGTTTGGTGTTAAAACGCCTTTCTGATTTCGAATGACTCACTCACTTACCTACTCACGCACGCACGCACGCAGGCCGCACTCACTCCCTCCCTCCTCGCTGACAGACTAACCTACTTGCTCACTAGACATGCTAGCCATGTGAAATTGTCTGGTCCTTCAATCCTGATTCTGGATTCTGAGTTCGCACATATCAACAAATCAGAAGGGTACGTCCTGGGCCCTGGGTTTTACACCCAAGCGCCTTTGTCATGATTTTACGTGATTCGCCTACTTGGAAACCCCAAACATCTCTAACCAATTGCGAGCCACGCCACGACCGCAATCTGAGCGATTTGCCCCGTGAACGTGGCCACCTTCATGAACATGCCTTAGCGGACCAGAGCCAAGTGGGTCGAATGAAAAATCCTCAGGTCAAACGATGGAAGCTGTGAGGAGGGTTGGTGGACTACTTACCTTTTGAGTAGCCCAGGCCCACTGCTTTTGTTGTGAAAAAGGCAAAGAACACTGGCTATGTCTGACCATTTTGGAAACTGGACCCGGTGGTACGGGAGAAGTGCTTGCTCCCAACGTATTCAGGCCCACCAGACATGGATTTCCGGTCAACATGGCAAGGATTGCGACTGGCGACAAGGTGTGCTGGGACAACCTCAAGCTGCACCAATAGATTCCTGCAAGCAAGCAACAGACCATTGGTAATCCGTTGGCAAAACGCGCAAAGCAAGCCCGCTACAAACATCTCAGTGGTGGGTACATGGAAACAGCCCCTTCTAATTTTGCCAACCCGCATGCACAGCCCACATCTTGAGCCCAGAACATGGCGGACAAGATATAGGGAACATACCCCGTGGGCCTTGATACCGTCAACAAACAGGCCAAGTTTACCCAGATTCATCTGGAGGAACCTTCTAATTCGAGGAATCCACCTACAAGCAAATAACCGCCAAAAGGACGAAAAGGGGACCCTGGATTAGCATGGCCCCCTGCACCTCGCCCAAGTCATTGTACTTCATAGTTTTGCCCAATTTTGCGAACATTAAGTGAACCTCGGGTGGTTGGACTTGAGAGCTGCCTGCCTCAAGCTGACAAGTTCATGCCCAACACATGGCGATCAGCAACGTAGCGCAACATGTTGGCCTCCAGAGTAAACACATCTGTTCGCGGGTACTCAAACAAAGGTTGGTTCAAAGGGAAAACCAAAGGAAAGAAACCATTTTGGTGGTCCCCGCATTTTGTCAAATTCCCCCATGAGTT